GTGCCGCTACAGAAAGACCAGTTGCCCTATACTTATGCATTAATCAAGCCCAAAGATGAGCCTATAGATGAACTGGTAGATTATGATGCTCCTATTGCAGCAATTCTTCCTGGTATTTTACTGATTTTTCCCTTGCGTGAATTTTCTTGATTTCTGGAACCATTTGCTTATGATAGCATGGCTTCCCTTAGGTAGTTTTTACTTAGTCTGGTGAATTTTGTCATATTTGGTGATGCATGTTGTTCATTCATTGGGACTGCAACCATTTAACTGAGAGTCTGAAACACGGCTAAATGAACTTGTTAAGGGTGTAGACCAGATCGGAATACACTTTAAGGGAGGGAGGCTTGATTCTTCAGCACTTAAAAGAAGATATAAGTTGATTTGCAAAATTTATTTAACCATTTAACCATTTTAGTTGACGGGACCTTTTATTTTTCTTATTCTTCTTCTTTGAACTGGCAGCATAAGTCACTTTGATTTCACTAATTGGATCGGATGGTCGTCATTTGAGTGATGGTAGTGGTCACTGGAGACCATTGTAGGCTTCCTTATGCATTTTCCTGTGGATTGAAATTGGTTGGGGACCTTAGTAGTCTTTAGCTTTTAATATTGAACTGATAAATTTCTTCCACACCATGATTTTTTTCCTTTGATGCTGTGTTGTCAACTTACAATCACCTTCATGATGATGGCTTTTTAAAAAGTTTGGTTTTGAATTTGTTCTCCTTCACAAGAACTGCCTGGTGGAAGAGACCCTCCGATGCAGCATGATCCAACTAGAAAACAAGACAGGAATGGTTCTTTAATGTCAAAATGTGGAGATGATGGTAGAGGCAAAGGTATTCGGGATTCATCAGATGAAGCGAACCATGAGGTTGCAACAAACCAAGAATGTTCTACTATAGAGATAGCCTCCTCAACATCAGGAGAGGTAAAAATTACTATGAGCTGCAGCTCAGCTCCTGGGAGATCAGAATTTCGTTTGCCTAGTCGAGATCAACTTTTAAAAATGATGGAGGATAAATGTCTGCAATCATATAATATCACTGACCCAAATTTTTCTATCACGAAACTGTTGAGAGATATGTGTGACTGCGTGTTGGAATTCAGAACTGATTCAAATGATGACTCACAGGAGGGATCTGAAATGATGACATCAAGTCTTGTATTGAAGGAATCGCAAGCACGTGATGCTCTGAATATCAGAGGCAATACAGAAGATTTAGGAATGCATGCTGGCACGTCAAATGGATCAATCAACATTCAGTCTTCTTCTGCACTGGTTGCATCTCGCATTTCCACTTCTCCCCCGCTTTTGAGTGGTATGAATGGTGCTATACCAGTCACCAATAAGGCCGGAAGTGATTTTCCAGAGTGTGGTGATGGAAAAGGGCTGGAGGATCCTACATCTCCACATTTAGGTAGTTTGGTTGTTGTTCAACAGCATCAGCTTACTCCCGATGATCTAAGGTCTCTTCATGGTGCTGAAGACCTTTCAAAAGGAGAAGAAAATCTTAGAATTCCATGGGTGAATGAAATAACTAATGATTTCCCTCCACCTTTTCACTATCTGCACCAAAGCATTGGTTTCAGAGATGCTTATGTTAACTGGTGTCTTTCAAACATAAAGTGTGAGGATTACTGTTCAACTTGTTTGGGCGATTGTCTTCTGTCCCCAGCGTCTTGTGTTTGTGCAAATAAAACTGAGGGTGGATATGCATACACGTCTGAAGGGCTACTGAAGGAAAAGTTCTTGGAAGAGTGTATTACCATTAGCCGCAACCCTCAACAACATCAGTTCTATTGTAGAACCTGCCCTCTTGAAAGAGCAAAGAATGATGATTGTTTAGAACCATGCAAAGGACACTTAAAGAGAAAGTTTATCAAAGAATGTTGGGTGAAATGTGGCTGTGTGAAACAATGCGGCAATAGGGTTGTCCAACGAGGAATCACTTTCAAATTGCAGGTGGGGGGCTTAAGTAATCTTAAACAAGTGCTGATTTAATTGTTGTTTTTTTTATTTTGCAGAATAGTGCTTCTAGCTGCCACACATGTATTTTCTTCTGCTTTGACATGACATTAATTGATCGGTTTTTCTTAAATGCATATGAACTTATACATCTTTTCTCTCAATCTTTTGCACTCTAGGTGTTTTTCACTTCAGAAGGAAAAGGATGGGGTCTTCGTACCTTAGAGGAGCTGCCAAAAGGTGCATTTGTGTGTGAATTTGTGGGAGAAATATTAACTCTCAAAGAGTTGCACGAGAGAAACATGCAGTGTGCCCAAAATGGAACATACACATATCCAGTTCTATTAGATGCAGATTGGGATTCAGGGGTTATAACTGATAAAGAAGCTCTTTGCTTGGACGCGGCATCTTATGGGAATATTGCTAGGTTTATAAATCACAGGTACTAAAATTCTAGTTTTAAATGCTTGCAAGGATTCGTATATTTCTGTTCCTTTTGTGAGAGTTTTCTTCTGATGGTGTGATTTATGTGCTTTTAGCTTGCCTTTTCTTATAGTTTCATTCTTCTCTTTCACTAATTATTCTATGCTGAATAGGATGATTCAAAGATAGAGGGTAATTTCCTTCTGGCTCATAAAATGTCATGAAAAGGTTTACATTGTTTTAGACAAATAACACTAGGTGCTTCTAGTTTCTACTATATATTTTTAGGAAAGGAGACTGATCTTTTGATTATTGAAGATGGACAAAATTCAGAAAGAAGTTGTTTGGTTATGAATGGATTAGAAAGATTATTATTTACCTAAACATCATGGGAAGACTGAGGTTCTTTCATTCTCTGTGCCCTAAGGTGATGATCAACTTGTGATAGAGTGATTCCACAAACCTTGGCCCATTTTTTATGTGATAAATTAATTTCATCTGCCCAGATGTTTGGATGCAAACCTGATCGAAATCCCAGTTGAAGTTGAAACCTCGGATCATCACTACTTTCATGTAAGAAATTAAACCCTGGATTCTTCATCTGTGTCAGCTCTGTTGGTATGACAATCTATAGATCATTTTGCCTGGTGATGCTTTTTTTTTTCTTTCCTTTTTTTCTGTCAATTGTGCAGCTTGCTTTCTTCACATCCAGAAAAGTAGCTGCACTGGAAGAGCTTACTTGGGTAAGTAGTTTTGGTTTTATGGTGTGGTGTTTGGTGAGTTTCCCTTGGCCATGTGGATTGCTTCAATTTTATGTGGTTCTGTTACGTCTCTTCTCCTCTCTAGTGTCAAGTAGAGCGTGAATGGCAACAGGTGATGCGGTTGAGATAATACGCTCTCCGTCCTTTTTAAAAGCAATCTTGGACTTTATCACATAGATAAAAAGTAAGTTAAAGACAATAAATAAGTAGAAATTGGAAGTTCTTTTTTAAAATATCCTCATTTATGAAAGAGAGAGAGCATAAAAAAGAGAATAAGAAAATTATGATAAAGAGAATTATAAAAGAGAGAAAATGTAGATGGAGAGAGATAATGGTTTGGGAAATGAGATAATAAATATATCGGGTATTAAAATAAGTAATTAATGAGGGCAAAATGAGAAATCTGCTACAAAAATTTAAGACAACTTGTAAATGTTGCTTATATTAAGGGACAAGAAAGGTATAGTAGTTGTTGCTTATAAATAGGGACGGAGGGATTATTGAATAAATCATGATTGAAATAAAGTTTTAGGCTTGAATACACGTGTGGCTACTTTTCATGGAAATTTTCGTTTGGTTCCTCAACTTCATTTGCAGGCAATGTTGCTACTTAGCAGTTTTGTGGTTGATCAATTTATGCAACTCTTCCTATTTTCTAATTGATCCTGGTTAATAGTCCGTTCTTAATAATGAGATGGACTTGGTGTGTCTGCAGGATTATGGCATTGACTTTGATGACAATGAGGGTCCTGTTAAGCCATTCTCTTGCAGATGTGGCAGCAAGTTCTGCAGGAAGATGAAGCGATCAACTAGTAAGCACCCCACCCCCCAAAATTTTTTTTTTTTAACGTAGCATTACTGGCCCCTTTCAAGGAAATTGTCAATTACAATTTCACGTTAACTTCTAACTTTATTTTCTCCTTCACGAGCTTAGCTTTGCTTCTAGACTTTATTTCCTGAAAGCGTTCTAGACAATATCACATAAGCTTTGCAAATATTGACCAAGCTAAACTACATTCAGGATTCAGAGGATGGCCTTGATGTATGTGGATTGAATTGGTTTAGCTGCAATCCCAAGATGAAAACATGCCAATCTTTACAGGACTACGTATATTGCTACTCGCTTTATGAGACAAGACCATGAATGTGGATGGAAGAATTAATTATGCTTTTCTACTATGAATACGTTTGCCCCATTAGTTGGTCTCGATGCTTGTGGTACTCACTAGTAATTGATAAGCCCATGGATGCTCCTAATGATTGTGATGTTCGCTTTCATGACTTCCTGCAAGTATGATGCTAGTAATTCTTTTTTGCCATTTTCATGTTGCAGGGTCCAATAGATCTGCTTCTGTTGCATGATGATAGCTGTGCCCCAAAAACTAATATCGACGTCTCACTCTTGCCCACCGCGAATAGGAACAGACTCGATCTAATGAATCGGGCTTGTTTCTCTTTTGACGTTGGAGGTTGGGCAACAGTGGCAGTGTACAATGTTTTTTAAGAGTCTATCGTTGCTTTCAAGAACAGTGTGTCGTTGTTTTGTTACCGGACCATCCAGCAGCAGGGGGCTGGTTTCTCAGTAGAGGATTGTTCTGTAAACTGTTATTCGATGTTGCGCCTAATGCATGGCAGACCTCAGAAAGCCCTTTGGCCATTTCTGTAGTTAAGTTGAAAAGAAATGATCATGCACATGTTAAGCAAATCTATTATTTCCGAGGGGGTGAAACAGTTGAGGAACGCTGCCTCTATCGACGCAATTCTAAGACTCAAATGTTTTTTGGTTGATGCATGTCATTTTTTATGCAAGGGTTGTGTAGGGACTAGCGGAGAGCAAACTTGAGTAACCAGAGTTGGGCAAACAGACAATAAGCGCAAGCGCATAGCATTAGGTAAAAGCGTGCTATACAGTTAACTTGAAGCCATAGATTACGCTATTCTTGTTTGGTTTTTATCTGACAAAAGCCGGCGTAGCCGATGACATTGATTCTCTGCCATGAGGACTGCAAAGAACTTCTGGATCATAACCCGAAGGCATAATTGGTCTGATGCTCCCTGGATTGAGTGGGAAAAGCATTTTGTAATAACCATCCATTGTTTCAGTGAAATTGCAGGTTTCTGCCACCTTCGGTATCTGGGGGTGTCACCAACATTCATTAAAAATCTGAGTAGATGAAGGTTTGACAGAAAACGGAGAAACCGGGTTTTCATTACGTACCTGATAAATGTCACGCATGTAGGCGTGCAGGTTGGGATACTCAATGAGCTTCCTCTTGGTGCACTTGAAAATCCCGTTATACACAAGATCAAACCGAATTAGAGTAGTAAAAAGGCATACATCCACAAGGGTGAGCGCGTCTCCACACAAGTATCGCGAACCACCCAAGTGCTTTTCCAACACGTCCAGCGTCTTGAACAACTCATTCACTGCTTTGTCATATGATTCCTGGCTCTGCGCAAACCCACACCTGCAAATGCAATGACCAACATATCAATTTGATCAACCAAGCTAAACCACTATTTTACTAATTGCCCTCTCAGCATTACATTACCTATACACCCCATTATTCACATTTGGATATATTATCTGGTACCATTCCTGAATCTTTCCCCTCAATTCAGGGGGCGAAAGATCCAAAGTTGGATTGCTAGCCACCTCGTTTAACTCCGAATTGAATAGCTCAATAATATCATAGCTCTCATTGCATAAAACGTCCATTTTATCACCATCCCATAACATTGGCACGGTGGATCTTCCATCATACCCACCGCTTCTCAGCCTATAAACTTCCTTCAACGTCTTGCACCCATTCGCCTTATCCAGAGTAGGATTAAGCTTATCCTTTTCCCCATCACGGAAATATTTGAATTCCCATGATCCGTCCACTCCTGGGGAAGCAACAGAGACTGGCACCGCCTCCTCCAAGCCCTTCAAGGCTCGGACTATGAGGGTTCGGTGGGCCCAGGGGCAGGGCAGTCCCACATAGAGGTGGAGGCGGGTTGGGCTTGAGACGGAGAGACGGGAGGCTCGGAACTTCGAAGCGGGTCTTGAATAGCCACCGGAGGGATCAGAAGGAGCCAGCTGGGACATCATGACCCGCCACGTGGAGTTCCAAGACGTACGGACGGTGGCGATGAGGAGACCTGGTGGGAGAGATTGGCCCCACAGGAGCTTCGTGAGTGAATTGATAATGGACGAATTTGAATTTGAAGGTTGAGGGGTTTGGTTGAGCGACATCACGGGCCGGATCCTGTTAGAGTAGAATCGGGTTGGTTTTCGTTTGGAAGGACGGAAGCTACCGTCACGCACGGTGGTCACCGGAGGGATGACCAGGTGATGAGGGAGAAAGGAACTGCCGGCCAGCATTCTCCGAGCGACTTCCCGAAGGACAGTGGGGTGGGCATCATAGCGCAGGAAAAAGAAAAAGGGGGGTATTTTTGTCAAATTATTTTAAAACCGACCCGAATAAGTCCTGATGATACTGGGCTAGATTTAAAAATTTGGACCTACTATCATTGATTTTGTGAGCCCAGATCCATATTACCCCTAAACCCTAGTCATCGCCGCGAACGCGAAGACGGAGCCGTCAGATTGCTCATATAAACTCATTCTTTCCTATTGGTGGGAGTGGGTGAGAGCTTCGGCGAAGAACAATGTCGAAGAGAGGTATTGCTGATTGTGTCGTCTAGCTTAGATTCTGGGTTCAGAGATTGGTGATTTTTTTATGCTGACGGTTCGTTTGTTTTGACCAGGTCGCGGTGGATCGGCCGGGAACAAGTTCCGGATGTCACTGGGTCTGCCAGTGGCGGCGACTGTGAACTGCGCTGACAATACCGGAGCCAAGAACCTGTACATCATTTCAGTGAAGGGGATCAAGGGTCGCCTCAACCGTTTGCCTTCTGCTTGCGTGGGGGACATGGTCATGGCCACCGTCAAGAAGGGAAAACCTGATCTCAGAAAGAAGGTCTTGCCTGCTGTCATTGTTCGCCAGCGCAAACCATGGCGCAGAAAGGATGGCGTCTATATGTACTTCGAAGGTCATTCTCTTTCTTAATTACTGGGAAGAGCATCTTCCATCCTGTCGCTGTTTACATGTTTTTCATTCATGTATGATGTTCCGTTATGCTTTGTTGTCTGTCCATGTGTTTGTGTAGACTGTGTGATTTTCATGTCGTTATATTTAATTTAATTAGCAGACTGTTGTCAGTTTAATTAGCTTGTGAATACATACTGTATCTTGCTTGCTTATCGTCCCGGTGGAATAGATTTGGGGAAGTGTTCCTAGGATTTTAAGTGGTGATGTCAATGAGACAATAACGAACTGACAAAGTGACAATAGTCAAATGTATGTATAAAAGAAGAAAAATGTTACCTGTTTAAGACATCTTTCGTTTGTTTGTATAAATGTTATTTCTCAGAGCACCGATTTTGGGTTTTCGGTCATACACATTGCCGATTGTATGTTGCGGTTTAGAAATTTCTGTTTCAGTTTTCTTTGCTGAACGATGATCAGGTCTAATCTAATTTATCTCGACATTACTGGACCGGACATGCCTTTTTGAGGGTGAATAATTTCGTCTCTTTGCTTTTTTTTTTTTTTTGGTTGCTTCTAGTAATACCAAGTGGCCACTCCACTAGTTGGTCATCCACAATTAGAAGCATATAGCAAAGAAAATGCCAGTTTTAAACAGCATGATGTTTATTTCTTGCATTGTGTTACCTGTCTCCTGGTACATGTCGTTTTACTCCTCCCTTGATCTCCTGCTATGGCTAATTTCGATCCTTTAATGTCTGTTTTTATGCTGAAATGGGACAGTTTAATTAGATGTTTCAAGTTGTAAGTAAGAAAATGGGAAGTAGTTGTCAAGTCGATTACACAGGCCCTTTCTTCTCTGTGTGGCGGGGAAGTGGGAGTTGAAGTAAACCATGGATGTGTATGGGAAGTCCTAATGCTTGTCGTGTGTGTGTGTGTATCTCGACCCATTATCGTTCCTTATGTTTGACCTGGATTACAATTTTTTGCTCTCATGTTAGGGAACAACTAGTGACTTCTAGTTTTGCTTTATGCAGATAATGCCGGTGTCATTGTTAATCCCAAGGGTGAAATGAAAGGTAATTTCTCGTTGAAGTTGAATTCTCGATTATTATGATCAATGCGGCTTTTCTTTCACACACACACACACAACAATTTTATGAGGATAGATTTTAGTGTGCCGATGATGTCAATGGCTCGCATCTTTTATCTGGTGTTTATGTTGATTTCGACTGATTAATCTAATTGTTAATGTAGGTTCGGCCATTACCGGTCCAATTGGCAAGGAGTGTGCTGATCTCTGGCCAAGAATTGCAAGTGCTGCAAATGCAATTGTTTGAATTATGGAAGTAATATGACAGATTGTATTTTCTTGTAGGATTTTGAAGTCATTTGCGAGGTTTTGTTTACATTCAAAGTTCTACGGAAAGTAATTTAGTTGGTTTTCCTTTGTTACGTCAATCGTTGGTAAGAAATTAATTGGCAGCTGAGGAGTTGTTTTTATTGTTGCGATCTTGTCGCCTTTCCACAGTTTAACCTTGCGGCCTGCTTGGACGAGTTTGAATGCATGGATTTATTTGATTTTTTTGGTGCATGTCGATCGAGGCTTTATGGCGGATTGACCGTTTTACGAGGGGAGCGGCTGCCATTTATTTGTTTGTTTTAGATGACCCAAATGATTTCTTTGAACTCGGTTACTTTTATATAATTGAAAACTAAGGCATTAGGGCTCATGTATGATGTTCAACCGTCGTCTATCGAACATAAGAAAAAACTTTTTTTCCGATTTGATCTTAAGAATTTTATGGGGTTTTTTATGTCAGTTGGGCAACAAATTGCAATGTGGGTGAAATTTGGAATACAATTTTGTGGTCCAGCATTTGAGAGGAAAAAAGTAAGCCACACATTCAACAGCGAATTAGGAAATGTAAACATTCGATGTTGTCTTTTTATTTTCTTAAATATATTCTTCTCAATTTCTATTATACGGCATTTTGTCAAAAACAAAAAAGTCTATTATTACGATCTTAATTACATTTTAAAATCCATCTTTTTAATGGTCATTTTACAATTTAAATATATATTGAGGTCTTTTTACCCCCCATATTTTTGAACAAATTAATGACCAAGGTAGTACCTTTTGAGGGGGCAAATGTGGGTATATGTTGTGCTATTTCGAAAAAGGAAAATTATTTTGCAGGTATCTTTTTTTTTATTAATTATTAGTTTGGCATGTTTTCTGATGTGGGCTGTTGGGATTTGGGAACGAAAGCATTTAGTGATGGAGCACCTTTCGGCTTTTATGGAAGATCGAGTAACATCTCAGCTGACAGCTCTGGCCGGTAGCCACACAGCCTTGTCTAGAAAATTGAATGCACTTATCTGTGGCTGAAATAACAACTGGAATCATAATCTAGCAGCAACTCCGATGGCCGCAAATAATAACCAGCAACAACATAACCCCATTTAGCGCCACTCGAGAGAAGTCTATCTCTTTGTTCATCCTCTGAGTTGGCCATGTTGGTTTTAATGTATGATGTAAACATCTTCGACTTTTACTTGCAACGCTGGCAAATGTGGCGTCTCCTCCTTTAACCACCTGGCAAACCTGCCGTTCCACTACGTCCCCATCTTAACCAATATCCCTCGTCCACCTCAACCAACAATTCTGTTTAACATTTCTCTGTGTAGCTTTATCTCACTCCGCTGTGACTTGTGTTTCAAAGATCCGAGTCATATATACACGTCGCAGTTGACTCATCAATCCACTTTAACACCCCCCCCTCCTTTCCCATTCGTTGAGGTATATTTGGCGAATACGTATCCACGGAAGTAGCGTGATCCTACAATAATCCCTTTTTCTTTTAAGATTTTCTCCGGCATGGATAAATTTTTGTAATAAATTGTTCCCAAATCCTTCTTCTTATGTACCTTTCGGTGGGTCTAAGCATGACAAGATCGGCCCTTTTATTGTGACTTTAAATCCATTTGGTGTCTTCGTCTTACACGTATCTTGCTTGCCATGAACTTTCCAGGCAGAAAAGCTTGTAGCAAGTTAATTCACTGAAACTGGTCGCTTTCTCTACTTTCAGGTACGGTTTGCCCGCGTGTCACTCTTGTGTCGGAGACGACCTCATTCTAGTACTCCGTCGTCGTCGAAGCATCATGGAAAGTTCCCTAAATTTTAGAGTTATAAAGACAAGACAATCACAAAAATGAAAGACGAAACTTTAGACTTCCAAAAAGGGCTCATGAAAATCTCAAGCGTTTGGCCTAGTAGTAAAGACGATTGTATATGCGATGTGATTACGTATAGTATCATTCCCAGTTTGAATTCTTAGTGGTGGGAATAATAAGTTAATCAAATGAAGTGGCCTGGGCACAAATAGTTTTAGACGCCACTTGACTATACCATGCAAGAATAGAAAAAAAAAAACAGTGAACTAATGATGTTACATCACTAATTTCTATACGCTCCATGGTGGGGTCATCAATGGTGGCGTGGAATGCACTATCCTTAGTATCATGAAACTATTCATGATAATGTTTCTTGTCTTCCACAAATCAGAAAGTGACATCGGAAAGAAATTTCCTTGCCTGCTCTTTATAGTGGACAGACACTTGAAATCTTCACTTTCACTCTTTCCTCTGGTCTTGCCCCTTATGATGATTCTGCACTTTCTGTACCGATACTAAATCCTCCAGTTCTCTAGTCTCTACATAGATAGATAGATAGATAGCTCTCAGATCTCAAAACAATGGAAGTGTCAAGGTTTTCCAGGTTTCAGAAGAAGGTGGTGGCTAGCTCGTCGTCGGTGACACTTGGTAGTGTTCTAAGAAGGGCCTCACTTAGCTGTTGTCCAGGATCAAGCTTTCTGAGACAGATGGTGTGTAAGTTGAAGGGTCGATGGAATAAAGCTTTGGGATGGCAAAGAAGAAGCCCACACCCACAGTACAGTTATGATCATCACAGTTATTGTCTTAACTTCGATGATGGTACTTTAAACGAAGAAAATTATTACTGATAATATCGCTTCGTTCAAAAGACTCTTTCTTTCTCCCTTCCCAAATGATGTATAGCTTGTTCTATAGTTTGATGCTATTTCTTGCTCTGTAAATTCCATCGTCATCATCGATCGTTTCTTACTGTTGATGGAAGTTTATGTAAACCCGGAAAGCTGTTTTCTTTCTTCGTGGGAAGAAAGCAAAGAACTCACTAGAGTTCTTACATTTAATGCTTTATATCTTCATCTGTCAGTCCTTGAAACGAAGGCTTGTATCAACTAAACGGATCAAAAAGACTTGGAATTCATGATATGAGATCCGTTTTTCCTTCACTTTCTTTCGCTGTTTTTCAGAAAGGAATGTTGGAATAACCGTGTTTGTGTTTTCTTCTTCTTGTTTTTTTTTTAGCAGAAAACGATGCCTAAGCCCAAAATAAAACGAATGCCGGAATTTTAATTTCGAAGATAATAAATTTGATCTGCCATTTGATCTGTTGTTGATGTTGACTCATGCAGCGTGTAAAGTAATATTACCTCCGGTTTTAATTATAAGAGTTGGTTGACTAATTTGAGGATATTAAAAAAAAGTTAAATTAGTTATTTGTAATAAATAGGTGTTGTTTTTCTTAAAATATCCTTACTAATTAAATGTTTACTTTGAAAAAAAATACATGAATATAAAAGATAAAATAGAATGGGGCTTTATATTGATAACTAAAATAAAAATTAAATGAGGTCTTATATTAAAGATAAGAGGTAGTAGTACACATTTATGGTGTTTGATTTGGCGTTTGATTTGGCGTTGAATGTGGTTTTCAACCATGAAAACAAACGTGTTTTAAATTTGATAACGGTTTGGATCTGAGAGTGGTTGTAAAGGAATTAATTAAAATAAGAAAATGGAACGGAATTAGTGTATCTTTAATAAATTACTTTGGCCTATAAATTAAACAAATTGAAATACTTATATATGCATTAAATTAATTAATAAGCTAACTGAATGAAAAGCTAGACAACGCATTCCATAGCATCCTTCAAGGCATGACCATGTTTTACTGGAGCTTGCGTGATTAGTTTGCTTATAATAATTTAGATAAGAACAAAAAAAATTTTAAAGTGTATAATGTTGGTGTATTATTTGTGACAATGATATGACAATTTTAAATATTATAAATGTGTTTTCTAGGAGCTATGCAAGTGTCATATTAGTTAGAAGGGTTATTTAAATGAAAATCAAATTATAATTTTAAAAATAATTTTACGATATATGAAATAAATATGTAAAAAAAATTTTGTTTCGATTGATTTGAAAACAATTAGATGCTGCTTTGCACTAAAAATTTGGAATTTTCTATAGCTAGCTAAATATAAAAGCAATTAATTCATTAATATCTAATCATTATATATTATATTTTTCATTTTTCATAAAAATATTTTTTTCTTCAAGCCATGTTTCTTTTTCTGGGACGCTTCTAAAATTAGATGGCTTTTATAAAAATATAGTGGCCTTTGAAATAAAATAAAGGCCAATTTGTTACTTCGTCCAGTAACATATTTCATAATATAATATATTTTTGTTTAAAATATTGATTTTTTTAATATCCTTAACTGACCATAAGATTTAATAACTAATTAACCAAACTCCTTTAATTAAATTTTTTTTATTGAGGGTCTATTTTGGTATTGTTAAAAAAAAAACTAATTCTAAATAGCTCTAGTAACTTATATAAAGTTTCTAATATAAGACCAGAAAGAACTAGCATTCATTATTTTAAAAAAAAAATCTCTCTGTTAAGGTGAAAACTAATTATCAAATTTAATTAGGGTGAAAAAGTTAAATAAATTATTTAATTATAACATATGTGATACAATTTTCTTAAAAAATCATGTATAATATTAAATTATATATAATATATAATACTATCTCCGATCCTAATTATAAGAGCTAGTTGACTAATTTGAGGACATTAAGAAAAAAAGTTAAGTTAGTTATTTGTAATAAATAGATGTTATCTTTCTTAAAATGTCTTTGCTAATCAAGTATATTGGTTAGAACTATCATTATTAGAAGGATGATATTATAAAAAATATATATAAATATGAGAGACAAAGTGGATTGGGGTCTTATACTTAGGATAAAAATAAAAGTCAAACAAGGTCTTATATGAAAAGTCGGAGGTAGTAGTTTATAAGTTAGTTAAGTTAATTTACAAAAATTTAAATATAATAAATAAAATTAAGTAAGACGTAAAATGGAGTTCATGACCTTTTACTTATAAAAAAAAAAAACAAGTTTTAATGTTATTAAACTAGAAGATAATTGGATAGTTCTTATATTTAAGGGTATACAAAAAGAAAGGCCCCTCCTCAACGGTGAAAACCAGAGGCGCACGTGCAGCCCATTTGATATTTTCACTGTTGCGCCAATCAGAAACATCTTTTAGTCGAACATAGGATGCACCAATCTCCCCCTCCACGTAATAGACGGACTATCCACGCGCTTAGGTGGCGCGTTCCCTAGCTACTTTTCCTTCCCTATCATAGGCATTAGGCCCCAAAGGGCAAAGATAACGCACTCGTCACCGTTCGCTTCTTTGTCTCGCCGGTGACGGAATCTAAAACCACACCCGCCTGTGTCTGCAGAATTAGCCCAACCTTCCCTCTCCAAACTCGTGGTCTTGATTCAATTCTCCACCTTTCTGCTCGAATTTCCCGAGCTTCCTGTGAACTTCTGGGGTAAGGATTTCGTTTTCCTAGTTTCGGGGCACACTACTTCCCTCGTTCAGAAGTTGAGGACATCTTCTCTGTTATTTGCCAATTACCCTTGTGGAGCTTTGCTTTGAATTGATGAATTCACGTCTTTCAGTGTGTATTGGGTCCAAATCGTGTTCGGATTCTTTTACTCATTGAGTGCTTGTTGATTTATTTTATCTGTAGGAATTCTGGTAATATGATTTATTGTTTGCGCGTACATCATTTCCAATATGATATCTGTCTGCATGCCTTGTATAGGCCTCTGGCCATGCACGTCGTGTGACGGTTTGATTATTGAGTATCGAGTGCTTTTAATCGGCACCTTATAATTATTAAAAGATGAGAAATATTTGATCATCTGCTTATGCATTAATTTCCATTTATTGGGACGATCCCTAGCTACTTCTGTAAATGACTCTTTTGTCTAACGTTGGAAATTGAGGCAGTTAAAACATGAGTGGTTTCGTTATGCCTGTATGCTGCTTCTTGATTTTAAGTATTCCCTGAAAGTACACGAGAGCGTTGGGGAAAAAGCTGAAATTGGGTAAAAGAAGAGTATCGAAAACATTTCTTTTAGTATTTTACTATTCTTTGTTGGTTAAATAATGATTTTTGCAAGTTAAAATGATATTTACCATTTTCTTCGGAGAGAACCGATGATTTGTTAGGGGTTGTATGCAACTCTCCTACTTTTATGCATCTCTGCTGCTGAATATCACTGTTACTCGAATGCTTTGGATCGTAAGCCTATTAATACTTGTCGAGTTAATCTTCTTATCTCTGGCTGCAGTAAACGGTATCAACAGTCATATGGGTTTGCTTGGCAATTAAATGCTCGTATCTTAGTGACCTTAGGCAACATCTTTTGTGGATTCCGGCTTGAACTTTCTCAAGTCATTCAGATGAATAGTTATTGATGTGTACTTGGAACCGACAGGGTAACAGCAATATGATACTGTTACCCCCTATTAGGGTAGTTTTATCTCCTAGTGATGATACAAGAAGCAATTGGTTACAGTCATGCAAAGGTTTGTCACCTAGTTCTGATGTTTGGTATCTTTTAATACACCAATAGAACTGAAACAGAAAAGAATATTTTCTTAATGTTTGACTGAGATGTGTGATCAATAGCGACCTTGGTTCAAGATGTTGACGTTGTATTTGTTGTCCCTGCTCTAATTCTTAATTTCTCGAGCTCTTAAGGATTGGGCATGCTTTTTATTTGTCCTACTTTACCACGGGGTTTTATAGTCTTCATAAACTATATTATTGCAACTCAGTTGTTTTCTTTTGCTAATTTTTCTTATGCTGAAGAAGCCTTTCACGTGAAGATTGATGACAACTTGTTTGATGGGGTCTTTGAGAAGAAAAAACAATTTGTGTAGCATTTTTTGGTGAGTATTGCCACCACAGGGAATTAGAAGTCAAAATGTCTATTAGTTGTTTGAGTAACTGATATTTCATCTTTTCTTTCAACTATATAGAAAAATAATGGAAGCACGCCCTGCTTTTTCCATTGAAAGATCAAGTGCAAAGCAACTCAGTAGCATGGGAATGTCTGGAGCACTGTCTTCGTCTCTGCCTGTCCACCCAACACCCATAGAAGAGACATATTCCAAGTTACCCGATTCTCAGCAGGTTTTTGTGGAAAAAGAGCACTCGGAAAGACCTGTCGCTTACTCAAGTCATTTAAATTCCAGCGGAGCAGTTGGGCACATGTTTTCATCATCCCCTGGATATTCTACTGATCTTCATCACTCATCCCTTTCACCTCATGGAAAACACTCAAGAAATTCGCATTTTATTTCACAGTCTTCGAGTAACATGGCATCACTGCCATTGACATATTCTTCAAGTACCGGACCACTGCCTTCTACAACATCAACTTGTTATTCCAAAGAAAGTAATGGGTCGTGGGCTTTAGATTCCTTCCCAAACATTCTTGATTTTCCTGTAGATACTTCCATTAAGGATAGTCAAGTAGAAGGCAGTGCCTGCAATATGATGGCACCTGATGAGTATGGTAAAAGAAATGACTGGCAGGAGTGGGCTGATCAACTGATCAATGATGATGATGCATTGGCTTCTAACTGGAACGACATTCTTGTTGACCCCAGCATTCATGATCCTGAACCAAAGGTGAAGTTTCCCATAACTCAAAGCAATGTCAGATTGCTAAGTTTTTTATTATGATTATTAGTTTTCTTAGAGGAATGCATATTTTGTTGCTTTAGGTGTCATGCCAGAATTCAAAATCATCTTCACAATTGCCAGGGCAGCAGTCTCAAGGTCGCCAGCAACTTTCAGCTTCGTTGGGCGAAAAACATGCTAGTGCTCCACCCTCTTCCTCAGCAAATTCTGCTTCTGCCAAGCCACGAATGCGTTGGACACCAGAGCTTCATGAGGCCTTTGTGGAGGCTGTCAGCCAACTTGGTGGGAGTGAAAGTATGTTCTTTCTCCCTTTTACTAAGTCCCTGTCCTTGGGTTAGTTATGAAACTTCTGCCCTAAGAATTTTTTAATGGCTTGCTTTCTGTATCTCACAGGAGCAACCCCTAAGGGTGTGCTGAAGCTTATGAAAGTTGAAGGCTTAACAATATATCATGTTAAAAGCCACTTGCAGGTATGTTTTCTTTACTTTAACTGTGTAGGTTTATTTGCCAGCATCTACTTTTACTGAGGCAGATCTTGACATGAAATGCAGAAATATAGGACAGCTAGATATAGGCCGGATTCATCTGAAGGTAAATAAGATATGCATTGTAGTGAATTGACCTACATGTATGAGGATATTATTTATATATTGTACGCGGATTGATTGCTTTTACTGCTGCTGCTGCTGCTGCAGCAATTTACTGCTTTTTCTTGTGTACATGATGTCAGACTTGGTTTTAAATGATCTTTCATTGGGTTATCAGGGATTCTTTCCTGTACAGTGCATAATTTAGTCATGGAGTTGCTAAATATAATTTATCAAAATGCATCAGAAGCTATGCTGCACAGATTAATATAGGACTGTTGCATACAGTATGGTATGGGGATATGAGAGCTTTTCTGAAGATATTGGCTGTACAGGTGCTAGAGCATTTAGATCAAATAAAAATTTTACTGTGGGAATGTACAAAATAGGATAAAGTTGTTTATTAGTACATTCATTCTAAAAAGCAACAATGCACTTTAATAAATTAAATGCTTTGGCTTGTTGCAATGGCCATTTTCGCTTTCTCTATATCTGAAATGATTAAAGCAAAGCAAAGTAAAATGGAACAATTTGAGCACATAAATCCATATGCCTATACCTGTGCTGGGTATTAGTTTATGTGATATGAAATAGAAAAGAACTGCAAATTAAGGAGTCCTCTCCCCATTCAAATCATCCTTCCTTTTCTAGTGGCATGCGTACATGTTCTGGAAACTAAAAAATGACCGTGTCATTTACTGCTGTTTTTTGTCAACTCTTTAATTGTTCAAGTTTTATGCATATGATGTATGGAATGTAAAGTGATGCTGCTTCTCTTGGTAGTCAGTTAAGTTAGGGTTTGTTAACTACTGTTGGCAGGATCCTCTGAGAAAAAGTTAACTCCAGTGGAAGAGATGACATCTCTAGACTTGAAAACGTAAGTAAACTATTTTCAGCTATTTAAGTAACCTTTTTCATCGATTCTATTGATCAATGAAAATTCCCAGACATAATCTCTTTCTCTAATTTGACATTGCTCACACAAGCATGGTAAAGGTGATCGTCTGATGGCTGAACATGCATGGATGAGGAAAATAACTCATACATGTATACATATGATAATTGTTATGCTCACTTTACTTGTGGTCTTGTGCATTGCTGGCAGTGGTATTGAGCTCACTGAAGCTTTGAGACTCCAGATGGAGGTTCAGAAGCGCCTGCATGAACAACTAGAGGTATGAAATTTGTTCTTCAGATTTTCTGATTTCTTCAAGGAAACTGCATTCAAAACCTAGAAATGTGTTTCAAATTCTTTGTCGAATTGCCGTGACTATTGAAATTCATATTTCAGTGTTATAGGGATCTAGGTTTTAATTGGGGAAGTGAACAGTTTGAAGCTTAACACCCATTTTCCTTATGTTGGATGTGTCCTTTTTTCATGGTCTGATGCCTCTTGCCCCTTTCCTCCTTTTGTTAGATTCAAAGGAATTTGCAGTTGCGGATTGAAGAACAAGGAAGGTGCCTCCAAATGATGTTTGAGCAGCAATGCAAATCTGGTGTCGAAAAGTTTAAGGCAGCATCATCTGCCATTGATGATCCCTCTGGAGTGTCATCAGATGCTATTAAAGATTCTTCTGCCAAAACTGAAGTGGATGTCTCCCAAGCGGGCCATTGCCAATCAGGAACTGAGCAAGATAATAGCAATGCCATAGTTGAAGAATGCTTACTGAAAGATGATGACAAGCATAATGCTCCTGAAAGTCACAGTTCTGATAGTCCTAAGCAACATGCGAGTGAAGATGATGTTAATGCTCAACCATCAAAGCGTCAAAGGACAGACGAATAAGTCAAATCCCAAATGATCTGCTGAATCAGCATTTGACTGACTGGACAATACTGATTCAAGAAGAAATTTTTGTTTAGTGAGAAAGACTAGGCTGAATGTTGGGTAAAACCTCTTGGTAATTAATTCAATGTGTAACTTTCATTGTGTTAGATATAAGATAATGCGTCAAAGTTTTGATAATGATTGTCTTCAAGCTCAACACGTTTTTTCCATTGTGCATCCTAGTCATGCGATGCTGAGATTCCAAATTGAGCTCATTGATTACTTCCATGAAGGTGTTTGTTTGTACTTTGTAGTGAATCAATCATATCATTAATAAAATTATCGTCTTATATGGAAGACGTAGCTGGTGGGCACAGTAAAGGTTTTGTAGTTTCTTTGTCGTTACTATTCCCATGACGTGGCATTTTGATCAGTCTAATACCTTTTCAATCACTTTGACGTAAGTTAATGTTTTTCATCGTCTCAAGTAGGCAAAGCGCCAAATGGGAGGCCTGAAGTGAAATTTGAGTAGCTTCAAAGTGCTTATCACTTGAAAAAAATCTACTTCAAAGCAGAATCCTTTCCCGAATTGTATATCTTAATCCATTATGAGTGATATAATATTCATTTTGATTAATGAGAGAGGAGGTTTATATTCAATTCTGCCAGCTTGATCTATTCTGCTATATGTCAAAGTCAACTCTTGATTAACATTTTGAAATTTTAAACACGTCATGACAGCTCTGGTGATAATATTCTGTGCGCTGCAATTCTATTTGTTAAGCAAGTGTCATTAGTTTCAGAGGCCAAAAATGATTTAGCGTAAAAATGTCACGAGGAGTAAGGAGCGTTATCATGTGACTCTGAATAGGAACTAACATCATATTGGCAACTTCCAAGTTAAACACTAAGATTTTTTGAAAAAATATAGCTTCCCAAAATGTAACATTTGCTATTTGGATTTTGGCTTCTCAGATGCTCCTAGGACATGATGTACAGGCAACTAGACATCAAAGCTGAGAAGTTGATATACCCTCTTCTGCCCCTTCTCTATGAAATTTAGGAAATCAAAAATGAAAAAACTGTAAGAGTCTTAGATAACTTATACACAGTTACACACATTCTTTGATGAAGGTAAGTGAAGAAATTATTTGTAATGAATTTGAGCAACTTAAGTAACTAAATAGTCAAAATCTATTTGAAATATCTGTTATTTTATTGTCTATTATTTTAAAAAATCTTTAATACTAAATCTACAAAATCTAAATCATCATAATCCAAAAAATAAGTTTCAGTGTATGTCTAAACAAATTCACGCTCTAGTTTAGCACACATCACCCTTTCCCAGATAATACTGGGATAGTATTTTCTCTTTTATCAAATATAAGAAACAATTTATTGAGCTTTTTTGTTTTAAATGTTGTGAGGAATAGTATTTAATGCTTTTTTTTTCCCGGGAAATATCTATAATTTTTCTTTAACTTTTTATGTCTAGTACTCAATTATTTTAATGATGGGAAAATCACAAAAAAAACCTTTAAAAATTAAAAAATTATATACAAAAACCCGTTCATAAAAATTATTGTTAATTCCTTATCAAGTGTTGCCAAAACTAATATTCAAGTTGCAATGGGTCTTTATTTGCAATTTTTTATTCAAATGCACGTATCCGTATATTCGTTTTGTTCGTTGGACATAATTACTCCATGCAAGACTATCATGGCAAATGCATCGTTCTACTTCTGATACCCTGTTAACTTGTTTTTGGTTATCGTCCCAAAGTGCTCTGCAAGACAAGTTTGTGTCTTAACCGAAAGTTCTTGCGCCACAGAACGCATCGTGGGTCTCGACTCTGGATTGTTCCGCGTGCAGGCCGACCCTTTTGTCACTATGAACGCTATTGCTTCACTTAATTGGCCTCTTGGAGGTGGTAGCCTCTGGTCCAGCAAATCCTTCAGAAGCACCTCTGAATCCTCCATTGACGACAAATACTGTATCGAAGACATCGAAGTTAGGAGATCTCCTGGGTGCTTCCCCATCATTATCTCCAACGTCACCACTCCAAAACTGTACACATCGCATTTCTCCGTGACCCTCATGGTTTGTGCTAGCTCTGCAAGTTTTAAATTTGTCAGGAACCATAATTTTACATGCCGAGATGCTAATTGGATATGCGATGAAATTGAAACAATTGGAGAATAAGAGTTGGTCGATTGATTGATAGATACCTGGAGCCATATAACCATAGGATCCGGCAATCGAGGTCCAGCTTGTTGAATTGTAGCTCAGTAGCTTTGCAGTGCCAAAATCTGCAAGGCGGGGTTCAAAATCTGAGTCCAATAATATGTTGTTGAGCGTCACATCTCGGTGAACTACTGGTTGGGAACAATCACTGTGAAGGTAGGCAATTGAGTGTGCTATTCCCTGTACAATTCTTATCCTTGTGGGCCAGTCTAGTTCTAGTTTACCTTCTTCCCCGTATAACACTTTGCTCAGACTGCCTCTGTTCATATATTCATACACCAAGTACATGCGTCCCTTGCTGGAACAGAACCCGTAAAACTTGATGATATTGCGGTGCCTAACTTCGGTTAGTGTTCTTATCTCATTCTCAAAACTCTGGCGATTCACTGCTGGAATGTCAATGGTGTCTGAGATATTGAGCCTTTTAACTGCTACAACTAGACCTGTTGATAATACTGCTTTATAAACGCTTCCGAATCCTCCTTTTCCTATGCAGTACCTCTCACTGAAATCGTCGGTTGCCTTGACAATTTCAGCAAATGTGAATTTTCTATCTCTTCCCCATGCTGTGGACACAGAGTTTTCAGTCTTTTCACTATCTTTGGTCTCTTCGTCAAGGGGTTTGGCCTGCCTGCGGAATATTAGGAATCCGACCATCCCTATGATTAATAGCCCACAAACTGGTATAATAATCCCAAGAAGAACCTTTTTGTTTATCCCTTTGGACTTGTCTTGGGTAGATGCTGTAGAGCAAGCAGTTAATCCATTTCCCTCCCCGCACAGTGAGTTTCCAGCATAAGCTTTAGCAGGTGTTGTTTTGAAAATACCCCCAGTTGGGATTGAGCCCGTCAAGTTATTATAAGAAAAATCAATAGATTGGAGGCTCGGCATGCTCGGAAAGGTTGGTGGGATTGTCCCTGAAAGATGGTTGTGTGAGAGATTGAGTATCATCAAAGAAATAAGCTTCTCAAGGTTTTGAGGAATTGTCCCTGAAAGAGAGTTGCTACTGAGATCCAAGACGTATTGGAGCGAGAACAGGTTGCCAAGCTCAGATGGTATCTCCCCAGCTAGATTGTTGTGACTTAGATTCAAGCTCTTTAGGCCATCATGGTTACCAAGCTCTTTCGGTATGCTTCCAGTGAAGTTGTTATCTGATAAATCAAGATAGTTAAGATGAGGTAATCTGACAATACTCTCCGGAATCAGCCCTGTCAAATGATTCTTGCTCAAGCTGAACATGTAAAGCTGGCTGAGATTGCCCATTTCAGGTGGAATATGGCCAGTCAACTCATTGGAGGACAGGCTTAAATATTGCAATCGGCTCAACTTACTTAGCTCAGGCGGAATTTTACCCGAAAGTTTATTTCTGTCAATTTCTATCCTGCTTAAGTTTAAGCATTCACCCACAGAGGAGAGAGCTGGCCAAAAAACTGATTCGCACTCAATGAGACAACGACAAGACTGGGATGAACTCCAAATGCTTCTGTGATGTTTCCTGTGAATTGATTTTCATCAAGACGAACTCTAACTAGTTCCGAACAATTTCTCAAGCATTTTGGTACTTGCCCAGAAAAACTGTTGTTATTCACAGTCAAACGTGTTATTTTGAAACCACCGCACAAATCACTTGGTAGTTCTCCAGAGAAGCTATTGTTTGAGAAGCTGACACAACACAAAGAAAGACTATACTTCCCAAAATTCTTAGGAATTTTGCCTGAAAAATTATTGGAGAATACAGAAAAGAACTGTAGCTCAGTTAGCTGAGAAATAGTCTCTGGTAACTCTCCCTGCAAATAGTTAGTGTTGACGTCGAGAACTTGTAGAGAGGTCAAGTTTCCAATATCCATGGCAATGTTTCCAGAGAGTTTATTGGAGAAAAGGTTTATGATGGTGATGTTTGTAAGGGTCCAAATAGTTGACGGAATTGGCCCTGAGAATTGGTTTCCTGAAAGGTCTAATTCCATCAATACTTTCAAGTTTCCAATCTCATCAGGAATGGGACCAAAGAAATCGTTATTATACACATACAAGTATGTGATTTTTGTCAACAAGCCAATCTCTGGCGGGATTTCGCCTGTGAATTTGTTGTGTTGAAGTTGCAAAGAGACCGACTCGGTCCAATTGGAAACCAACAAGGAAGAAAGCTGGCCGGAAAAAGAATTTTCGGATAACCCCAATTCTGTTATTTTGGTCAGTTGAGATAATGACAAAGGCAAAGGACCGGTCAGATTATTCATTGCCAAACTCAGGAAGGTTAGATTAGTACAGAAGCCAAGTTCAGAAGGGATAGTAGAATTCAAAAAATTCTCACGGAGATCAAGTATAATTAGATCCCTGAGATTTCCTAGCGAGTTGGGAATTTCCCCTCCGATTGAATTGTTATTCAATTCAAGAAGTTGAAGTACAGGCATCAATCCCAACTCTCTAGGAATAGGACCAGAAAACTTGTTACTCCCCAAGCGAAGTTCTTTTAGATTAGAAAGCTTGAACAAATTTGATGACAGAGATCCTTCCAGCCCACAATTGGTGAGATTCAGATATTCAAGCCTACCCAGTCTCTTATGCATGGACTTTGGTATTAGGCCAGACATGTCATTCTGAGACATGTCAAGGTATGTCAAGTTCTGACATTCCAGTATGAAACTTGGGAATTCAGAAGTAAAAGAATTGAGCGCCAAACTAAGGTGGATTAAAGATGGCATTCCTGAATAATATGACCAATCAGCAGGAGATATAAAGAAGTTGAAGCCAAGGTCTAGGTACCATACCTTTGGAAGATTTGTGATCTGATAAGGAATAGTACCGTCGAGATTATTGAGGTAAACACTAAAATATTGAAGCTCCTTTAGCTGACCCAGTTCAGAAGGAAGTGTTCCTTCAAAGAAGTTTAATCCCAGGTCCAAGAAACTGATCTTGGAGAGGTTACCAATTGCAGAAGGAATTGACCCACTGAAACTGTTGCTATTGAGATTGAAGAGGGAGAGGTTAGGAAGAGAAGCAAAATCCAGCTCTTCAAGTGTCCCATTGAGGTTTGCATTAGAGAGATCTATCTCTGAGATTGTTGTGTTAGTATCATCACAAACAATGGCCTCCCAATTGCAGAGACTGTTGAGGTTGGTGAGGGACCATGAATCGAGAAAATCAGGAAGAGGAAGAGAGAGACTTGTTTTCCATTTGATTAGAGCTTCTGCTTCGGTTCTAGGAGAAGCAATGATCTGCAATGGAAGAAAGAATAGAAAGAGTAGAAGAAAGAGGAAGGGAGGAGCTTTTGGAAAGGTTGCCATGCCTGTCATATGGCATCTCTATGGCAAACTTTTTGCATTCGAATGCCCTCAGTGCTTTATATATATAAATGTGTGTGTGCATGGATTCTTGTTAATGATTTAGGAGTATAGTCAAACACATGACTCTGATATAAGATATTCAGCAACTAGGAATTAGTTATGGGTGCCAATCTATTCAAAGAGGAGACTAGATCTAGCGCAATGAGGAAGTCGTGGATTTGTCTAAATAAAGTTATATGGGCTTTGATTTGGATGTGATTGATCATGGCCCTTGCTTAATCAATACTGGCTGGATTCTAAAGAGTCTTAATTAAACCTGTTATTTGAGAAAATTACATCTAAACACCCAAAATTTAAACTGCAAAAGCACTGGAGTCATAATTATACCTTCGTTCTTTTTGCAGCCGTCAAAACAAATTAAGAGTGAGAAGCCTTTGAACAAAATTGACTGTTGACCCAACTCCATAGTCAATGGACTCAACGTCTACATTTATATGCACACATAATATGGTAGATTAGGTACTGTAAAATTATGATTTAAACATGAACCATAAAAAGACCACTATCAAGCTCAAGAAAACAGATTTTAGGTGAGAGCAAGCGTAAAAATATAAAATGTTAAATGTGATTTAAATGAAGGCATCTTTTTTGTTATTACAGCAGGGTATATTTGAAGGGCTAATGTCTCTTAATTAAATTAGGATTATGGGACGGCACTTGTGGCTGAAAACGGGTTTAAAGCACCGCACAATTTGATCAGCCAATTGAAATTCCCCACCAAGAAAATCCACTTGCATTATTTTATTTTTTTACCCCAACCTCCAAACCCACTTTTCGGGATTATTATACTATCAGGCTCTTTGTTTTCTTTTTTTTCTAAAACCCTTTGGGTCACTGCGTATAGTACTTTTTTGGATTCTATTACTAGATGTCCGAGCAACTGACTAATCTAGATCGAGACTTTACGATTAAGATACCTCTCCTCAATGTTTTTTTTTTTTTTAATAGGGTGGGCAATTCCAGTTTGCCCACTTTGTGATCTAGCTGATCTGCCGCTAGATCAAGTAATCTTAGATAATATTTATCATGCTTTAAGATGTGGTATTTTCATTAAGAACGTGAAAAATATTGTTTTCCATTATACTCCTCCAGTCCTTAATATAAGACCCAATTGTTAAGTTAGTTTTGATCCTAAATATAAGACCCATTTCTTATATTTATCAGTTTTCTCTAAATTACCCTTATGGATACCCCTCAACCATAATCAAGTAGAAGAGGAAGAGAGAGATATTAAGAAAGATGATTATGATGTTTTAGAAAAAATATGTTACATTTCTTATAATTAACTAACTTACCTAACTTTCTTAATATAATCAAATTAGTTAAATGGGTCTTATATTAAGGATCAGAGGAGTATTACACACGAGAATGTTACATGAAATTTAAGAGATGTATTCTGTTAGTTGTAATTCGTAGAATCTGCATTCTAAGCATGGACTGCAATGTTGAGACTAGAATGTAGCTAAAACATTTTATTGTAGAATTCGGAGAGTAAATAATTCCCCACTAATAATAATAAAGACAATGAGAGAGAAAAAAGGAATAAGAAGTTACTCGTTTTTCCATCAAATTAGCTTTATTACTATCAGTATAGAAAATTTACATTTTATTTAAAAAAAAAGAAGAGATTTTACATTTTTCATGGCTGGCTTCTCTACCATTGCTTATTCAGGAAAGTCAAATTTCAAATAAGATATTTTGTGGCAACCCAATAACAGGAGGATCAAGCTTACTGTCCAAGACATCCACAGTCAATCCCTCCAAGTTCCAACACAACAAGAGCTCACGAGGCTTCCCAAAACCGAGTACAGCACCAAATTAGAACTTCCGAAAGACCCGCCTATTCACATCCTTCTTTAATCTCGTTAATATATTTTTTAAAGAACAAAATCAGAATAGAATCACATAATAAGCTACTCCTCCGGTCTTTAATATAGGATCCAATTCTTAAGTTGGTTTTGATCCTAAATATAAAACCCATTTCTCATATTTATCAATTTTCTCTAAATTACCCTTATGGATATTCTCTCAACTATAACCAAGTAGAAGAGGGAGAGGAGTATTAAAAAAGATGATTATGGTGTTTTAGGAAAAATATGTCACTTTTTTTATAATTAACTAATTTACCTAACTTTTTTAATCTAATCAGATTAGTTAAATGAGCCTTATATTAAAGACAAGATGAGTAAATATTTTTATATCCGAAGATGAGCTCCGAATTTTTGTTGGACTTGGCTAAAGTTAGTTGTGGAAATGGATCATGTTTAGTCTACTTTCGGGCCTTCGTCAATTTTTCATTCCCTCTTTCTTCTTTGACTTATCTCCCCTTTTACCAGGCGCATTTGCAAAACCGTTAACCTGTGCATTTATTATCCGCTGAAATTCATCGAGCATCAGGGTAGAGAAAATGTCACACTCAATAATATCCTTTAAATGATAAATACACAAAGAATTACATGAAAAAAGAGGGGGGGGGGGGGCGAGAGCATTCACAACAACATACACCCCAAAACCCACACAAAGAATCATCGTCTAAAATACAGATGGAACGTGAGTGCCAGCAACTTCAGCAGCGCCTCTATTTAAAGCCCTCTCTAACCTTGTCTCAAATGGGGTAGAATGCCAATTCACCTTCTTATCCTGCACAAGCAGTCAAATCCAAAATCAGAATCCAAACTTAAGCCTGTGCATAATCTTCCTCTCAAGTTTCACTTCATCTTTACCTCTCTGTACTTGCTTGTGGTGTTAGGAATTCCTTTAAAGGAAGATACAGAGCCAGAAGAATCCTTAAAAGAGCCGGAGTGACTCCAGTATGTCCCCACAGTCCCTATAATTGGCATCTCATCCGGACTCTTACTTGGTGACTTCCTTGGTGAATTGGTAGCTGAAAACTGCTTAATCTCCTCAACTGTTAATGCACCCAAAATGGGTCTATCTTCGTGGCTTATTACTGAACCTGGTGAAGTGCTCCTGTCAGGTGTACCAGCATGCAAAGCAACTGAACTAGACCTGTTAACTGGTGTAGTTTCTGCTGAAACCAACCAATTTGAAAGGCTAGCATCAACCGCGATTTCCTGCTTCGATTTCTTTGAAGAGTCAATCCCTTGAGATCGTTCCTTGAAGCTGGGTTCTGAACTAAAAGGGATCTGATACTCCTGATTGGAACTGGAATTCTCTTTCTGAGGGATTGAAGGCTGTGTTCTTTTGGCTTTAACAGCTTTCCACTGAGTGAGATTTTCTACTGGGTTCAGCACAGGATGAACATAAGCACTTCTATCTCGAGCATTTGGGTTCGTCACAATTGGCTTCGCTTCACTCTCACGCAAAGGACCAGTTCGGGTTACACTTTTCATCTCCTCAGCAGCCTTTTTAGCAGCAGAAGTTCTTGCCCTTGAATATTCAATGTCATCGTCTAAGTCCTCGCCGAATTCTTCTCCTATGTCACTGTCTTCATCACTGAGGTCACTAACCCCGTAATCCATTTCTTCTTCTTCATCATCGCTATCTCTGCAATTTTGGTATCTGCTACTCGGAGGAAAAGACCCTGAAGAAGTCACCGAACTAGCGTCTGAGGAAGATTTGGATTGGCTTGATTTCCCCAAAGCTTCTTCCTTATTCCCACCTTGTTCACTCTTCTCCAAGTGAAGCTCCGCAACTTCATCTTGCAAAACCGGCTCGTATGTTTTCACATTAGAATCAAAGGTTACTTTCTTCCTCGTACTGAAGTTTAACTGCTCCTCAGGTTTGAGATCCCTACATTCAAAGTCCATTTATCATTATCAAAAAAAGCTTGGGGGGGGGGGGGACCAACCGAGAGGACGGACATAAGGGAAAAGGCATGTAGGCTTTTGTGGCTGAAATTGCTTACTGGACTCTTGATGTAGTGCTAATTGTGGCTGGTTTGGAGTGATCCTGAACTGAAGTGACACAAGATTGCTCCGGCTTGCTAGTTGTACTCCGCTGTTATAGTCAACATTCATGTTAATATTATCACAAGAGGAGAAACACTAATTTGCTTAGCTCTGTTTGTTGAGAAAATCAGAAGAAAGAAAACGGAGGGAGGGGTAAAAATCAAGATTATGCATAGACGTGGAAAAATTATTGAAAAACACTGCCAGAACAGAACCATTAATTGGACAAGCACCTAATCTGCTCTCCCCCAACGTCATAATAACCAGTTTCAATCATATCAATTTTTTTCGACGCTGCTTTTCCCAGTTAGTCTCCAAGCCACACACTAAAAGGCACAGCAAAGCTTGAAGAAGATGAAAGAAAATTCTTACTTGGTCACAGTCACGAGGCGGAATCTTGCGCCTCTGTTTTCTGCGTTTCGCATCTTTAGATGAACCAAAACACGCAAGAAAACAACCCATCGCAGATCTCTTAGGGTTTCAGTTTCAGCGACTCCAAGTGAGCAATCAGAAGAGGAAGGCTTCCCTAGTAGGTGCCGTCATGATATGAAATAGAACATTGAGGAGGGATAGAGGAAGAAGGAGAAGCGGGGTGATGGAGAGCGTGGTGGGTTTGGGGGAAGTGCGCGTTTAGTGTGACGTTGGTAGGGACAAAAAACGGTCAAGAAACTTTAGGAGGCTCCGTTTTTTTTTTAAATAAAAAATTCTCTCATTGAAAAAGATGTAAGTGACCGTTATAAGAATGATTGTTGATCCCAGCCTGTAATTTGCAATTTCGTTTTATTTTTTAATTTTTAATTTAATTGTCTTGTTAAAGACATATCCCTGTCATCAGCGCTTAGATTCGAACCATCATCGGACGGGCCCCACTCATTTTTGCCGTCTGACCGCCCGATCAGAATTAGAATTTGGATTAGCATTTAATTTGAATTTGAACTTGAACCAGAAGAATTAAAAAGCAAGAAAGGGAAAAAAACAAACTGGGGTGAGAGAGGCTCGAACTCTCGACCTCAGGATAACTCAGACGCTATGAGACCTACGCGCTAGCCAACTGCGCCACCACCCCGCTTGCCAATGGTTGTGACAAATGTTTATATAAATTGAGAAGACTCTTATTTGAAGACCATTGCTTCGCTTCCGCAGCCGCATGGTTGTCGCAATATCTATAGGCGTTACAAAGAGTTGTCCTAAATTAATGTTTTAAAAAAACAACGTAAATGGATAAATTTCTCACTGAAAACTCGTGAAATCAATTCAAACCATCGAGGCAAAGAAACACCATGACATGTTTAAGGTGATCACAAAGGTCTTGGCAAACAAATTAAAAGGTATCCTGCCAAAGTTAGTCAGTCCAAATCAATGCAGCTTTGTCCCGGGAAAGCACAGTTCAGATAATATTGTGATAACCCAAGAGATGGTGCACTCTATGCGCAATATGACAGGAAAAAAAAGGTTTATGACCATTAAAATTGATCTTGAAAAAGCATGTGATAGACTTAATTGGCACTTTTTGAGGAATTGTCTCCAGGAAATAAATCTACCAAGCCATCTCATAGAAGTTATTCTCAGGTGTATCTCATCGCCTACTGTGAAACTCCCTTGGAATGGGTAAGTCACTGGCTCCTTCATTCCCAGCAGAGATGTGAGACAATGAGACCCAATTTCACCCTACCTTTTTGTCCCATGCATGGAAAAACTAGCGCACTTAATCCAGGAACAAGTAGAATCCCGTACATGGCTGCCTATACGGCTCTGTAAGTCAAGCCCCCCACTCTCGCACCTTTTTTTTGTTGATGATATTATGTTATTTATGGAAGCTTCTGCCTCTCAAGCGACACAGGTGCGAAACTGCTTGGACACGTTTTGTCGAAGCTCGGGACTGAAAGTCTCTTCAGCAGAAACCCGAGTGTTTTTCTCCAAGAATGTCAATCACACAAGAAGAAATGAATGAAGCACCTTACTCGGGTTCCAGATGGTTGCCGACCTGGGAAAGTATCTAGGGGTACCATTACATCATCAAAGGGTGTCTGCCGCAAGCTTTGGCGGGTTGGTGGATAAAGTGAAACAACGTTTAGGGAATTGGAAAATCAACTCACTCTCCCTTGCGGGCCTAGCTATTCTGATTAACTCTGTAACTTCAGCAATGCCAAGATACACCATGCAAACCGCTTCACTACCAACCACTACCTGTAATGAGATTGAGCAACTTAATCGAAACTTCTTATGGGGTTCCATGACAGAGAAAAGACAGGCACACTTGGTGGCGTGGGAGAGTGTCTGCAAGACTAAGGGCAATGGAGGGTTGGGATTCAAAAGAATGAAGGCACAAAACTTGGCTTATATGGCTAAGCTCGGGTGGAATCTCATAAGAAACCAAACGACTTATGGGTACAGGTGATACGTACCAAATACAAGTGTGGAGACGACCTACTTCCAACCATAAACCAAGCTCGCCCTGGATCGAATACCTGGTCAGGGATTAAAGCATCATGGCGTTTTGTTAAGGATGGTTGTATATTGAACCCCTCGACTAACAATGTTAGCTGGAAGCATGATAAACATGGATCTTTCACCGTCCGAAGTGCCCATAACGTGATTAACGAAGAACGAGAAGATAGACAGGTGAATTGGTAACGAGTGTGGAAAATTGACACCATGCATAGATGCAAATCTTTCCTCTGGCTGGCCCTACAAAACAAGCTACTAACTAATGAGGAGCGTACTTGCCGGGAATGACAAATGACAACCTGTGCACGTGGTGCAACCACTCCTCGGAGTCTACCATTCATGTGCTGCGTGATTGTAGAGAGACGAAACAGCTGTGGAGTATGGTAATTCCCGCGGCCATATGCAGAAAGTTCTTTGATGGAAACTTGACAACTTGGATTCAAGAGAACACTCGAAAGAAATGCCCACATAGAAGTGAGGAATGGAGCAGTTTGTTCACGACGATATGCTGGTTACTGTGGAAGCGGCGCAACCTTCGAATTTTCAAACAGAAGCATATGAGCAATGAGACTTTAATATCCAAAGCCATGATAATAATACAGAGCATTGCCCGAGCACGACAGAAACTAGCAGGCACAAGAATCAACGGACACCAAGTGAATAACCGACAAGCAGGATGGTCAGCACCCACTGAGGGTTGGAAAAAACGCAACGTGGATGGGGCTTGGTCACCGAATACTAGAACAGGCAATGGTGGACTGCTACGGGACGAAACTGGTGTGTTCATCTCAGGCTTCATGTTTCACGTTGAAGGAGGTAACAGTCTCCATGCAGAACTATGGGCCCTACTCCTTGGTCTGAAAATGGCATGGGATAGAGGAGAAAGACGACTCATTGCAAAAACAGATGCACTAAAGGTGGTGCAGTTACTTAATCTGGACAACATTAGCGACCACCCCTATGTTGGGCTCCTAACAGAACTCAAAGCTCTACAGAAGCGAGAATGGGAACTTGAGGTTGCCCATATCAATAGAAATGCGAACGCCACTACAGATGTACTCACGAAGACGGCTCTAACTACCGCTTGGGGATATCACCCAATGGAAACACCCATATTGGAGATCGGCAATATCCTGCATGAGGACATGAGGCGACACATAGGATCTTAGTTGGAGGGCTTCCCTCTCTTCGTGTATCAAAAAAATAAAAAAAACACCATGACAGAAATCCATTTTTAAACTTAGCATCTTCATTACCGTTTTCTATGACTAGAAAAGTTGGAGAATTAGGATATACCTCAACATTTTGGCTCAAAAAAAGTTAATCGTTAAAGAGCAAAAGTAACTTCATACATTCAAAAAACCACTACGGTCCAGAATGTCATTAAATAATATATTATTCATAACTAATGGTACAAAATACATTTGAAACCTGTACACAAGCCTCTCGCTAGGCACAAATAGCTCGTTAGTTTAGGCCACACAACTGGGTATCACCTACCTAGGAGCAATCTAACCAAGAAAAGGCTGTAAATTGCATGCAGCAATTGATTCCAAGATCCATGTGTGACCAACGACTTGTGAACCAGTGGTAGCGGCTAAATCCTCTGCCTCGTTTAATCTCTCCCAAAGAATTGTAACTTCATCCCCCAACCTGCTCCCTTGTGGAGGATCAAGATTGTAAACAATCAGCTTTGAGGTCTCCTTGCAGTCATGACCTTTATGCAATTCTTCCTTGCTTTCTAAAATAGTGCCTCCTCCCGCTACAACCAAGTCTACAAGATCTTCCCTATAATCTGACGTGTAATCACCAGAGAAGTACATACTAAAGCCGTTAAACAGCTTGGGCGCCTACAATCATCACAGGTTATCAGCATATAAGCAAAGATATTTACCAAGTAATTTAACATCAGATATCGCCCATAATTCCCCAAAAATAATGACCCATGAAAACCATATTGGGGAAAATAGGATGAAATGGAAAAGTATTTACATTGGCCAATGCCCTAAGTCTGCCAGCTTTTGGGCCACCTTGACAGCCATGGTTATCAAGACTTATTTCATATAGCTCTTCTTCCACAGGACGCATCACCTCCATGCTTGCAGTTACCCCTACAGATAAAATAGGCAGCACAAACATTACTAAGGATATACATAAGAATTAAGAAGAATGGAGAAATTTAATGCACAGAGCTTGAGCATGCATGAAAGATATAGCAATGTTAGTCACATAATAAGCTGTTGAGCACGAATTACAATGAGAAGTAATCATTAGATCCAGTGGCACAAAAAATAAGTTTGATATACTTTCTCTGGTCTTAAACATAAGAGTTAGTGTAAGAATTTACTTTGATACTAAGGGGGTGTTTGGGTTGAGTGAAAAGTGTTTTTTAAAAGCATTTTTCCACAAATCAAAATAAACTCCTCCACATATTTCCTTCGTATACTGTAAAAACACTTTTAAAACCATAATTTTAATTTCATTCAAACACCCCCTAAATGTAAAATCTCAATCCACTTTAATTCCTAGATTCATAATTTGTTCCTAAACTATCTCTATTAATTGTATATATTAAGAGAAATTTTATCAAAGGATAAGCCAATGCATATGATTTAAGAGGATATCTTAAGAAATCAATACACATCTTTTATAAATAACTAATTTAACTAATTTTCTTATGCAAACTAGTTATGTAATTCCTACATTTAAAACTAGAAGGAGTAGTTGGGAACTACTTAAAACATATTATGCTAGTCACTGCAAATTCAAGAAATGATATGCGGTATGACATTACACGCAAAAAGAGCCTAAATAACTTACAGTCCATTTTAAGAATCCATTGCCCATTTAAAATGGCCATAAGAACTTTAAGTGTCCTGGCACATGCTCCGTTTGAATCAGTTGCTGCAATCACGTGTGTCACATCTGGCGTCCAAAACTTGGTAACGGTAGCACCAATCCTACTTGCAAAATTGATCAAATGTATCTGAATTGAAAGAGGTGGGAAAAGATTATCATTAGTAAATCATGATATAAAACAATACTCCCTAAACAACAACTACGATCTCTTTCTTGTCTCTAAATATCAGCATTTTGTAACAAATTTCCTATTTTGCCCCATTAATTACTCATTTTAATACCCAATATATTTATTATCTCATTTTCCAAATCACCATCTCTCTCCATCCACATTCTCTCTCTTTTATAATTCTTTTTATTATAATAATTTTTTTATTCTCTTTTTTATACTCCCTCTCTTCCATAAATAAGGGTATTTCGAAGAAAGAACTTCCAATTTTTACCTATTTATTGTTTTTAACTTACTTTTTTTTATCTATGTGATAAAGTCCACGGTTACTTATAAAAAGGGACAGAGGGAGTACAATAAGATACTCCCATGCACTTGCAAAATAAAAGGTCAAAAGCTGATGTAAGGCTTTCGAGAGAGTCATGTAAAATACTCCAAATAAGGCATTTTCACTTTTCTTAACCATTGAATTGAGTCTAATATCAGAAGCTTATGCCAGCTACTTCAACAATTATATCTTCAAATATTTTGTGCGCGCGCGCATGCGCGCATATATATAATATGATGCTTCCAATACAATGATTCAGAATCCATCTTCTACTTTTTGCAACAAAATACTGCAATCACAATGGAACAAGAGGTCTCGAGAAGGTAAATGAGAAAATAACATGCAGACGACAAAGAACAGAAAAGAATGCATTATAGATATCAACCTTTTCATCTGTAGACAGAGCAGATCCACAGAAAACCAAATGTTTACTATCATCTGACAGAACCAGTGGAGAATTTGACAGCTTAGATGTCCTACAACCAGGACAAAACATTAGCTCAGTAATATGACATCACACAAGCAGTTAAAATCAGGTTTAAGCAGTATCAGAATGACGGAATCAGAAATCAACTGCCAAGTAACTGAAATAGCAGATAGCAGAACTGCAAACATACAAATGAGATGGTGCAGGATGCTTCCGGGAGCTCTGTTTCTTAGAAATGGATTTCTCACTTGGAAATTTGACATGAGAATGAGCTGGACAGAGCATAAGATATTCCTCCTGGCCATAGAATAAACCTATGTTTAGATCAATCAATTGAAAGTCTGTTTAAAATAATGCATATCCCAAGTAATAACCAAAAAAGTCAAATAGGAGAGAAGCTACATCATCCCAACGGCAAGCTGAGATTTCCATTGCACAAGGAAAATGATAAGTTCTCCTACAGGATCTGACATAGCATCCAAGAGCAGCCCCCTTTTGGCCACATTTGCTGCATTTAAGCTTTGCTCCCCTTGCCACTTCTGCCCTCAAATTTTTAACAGTTTCATCAACAAAATACGCTTGAGGTGACCTGGATTTTCAAGGTTTATGGTATAATTAATTTCCTGAGTCAGGAGACAAGCGATCATAATGTTCAATTTACATGCTGGAATTGATCAGTAAGACATCAACAGCATACCATTCAATGCAAAGTTTATGCACATGTATCACATTCGGTTGGAACGCTGCAGCTCCTGTCACCAAATTTCCATTTTTATAATGCAACATCGGCCCAGTAACCTAAGAGATTTTAACAATATAGTTAAACTAATGCATACTAGCAAACATCATAATAGAATAGAATACTTTAGAGGATAGACAGGAGAAACACGCAGTGTCACGTTAAAATCATGTATATTACCTCCGAGGCTCTAGAAGACTGGCAAAAAGAACACACGCTTGTATTTGAACATGAATCCAGGTCAATCCCAGATTTAAGGTCCACGTTACATTCAGAAGTCATGGGCTTACTTTGATGGGTAACATTAGCTTGCATGCCATTGTTGTCATGTATAAGATTTTTTGGCCTCTTGGAGTCTCTCACAAGACCCTCTGTTTCAGAGGCAGAGCTTTCAGACCTCAACTGGATCCTCTTTTCCAATATTTCATTTTCTTTGCTTGCTCTCTTTGATGAAGAACTTTCTAATCTTTCAGCAGGCATGCGCTGGGGAAGGAAAAAAGAAATTGCTGGTCATTTCTGGTCATTTCAAGATAAAACAGAGCATACAACATACTGATGATATAAATTGCTAGACATGTGTATAGAAAGTTAAGGACAATGAACTTAATAATCATAAAAACCATTACTTTGAATATTCTTTGGAGCAGTCTAAAATCCTCTTAATCTTATTATAACTAGTCAGTATGTGCAATTATGTAGTCACATCATACTTGAATCAGGATGCATCTAGTCTCAACCGCCACTAAAAAGATGAATTTATGAGCTGGTCATTACTTTCACAACACAGTCTTGAAGTCCCTGATTCAGACCATTCCATGAGAAAAGGGTATTCAATTGAGGGAGATTCACGGGTACAAAAATGTAAAGTTGCTTTAAAGTGGCTGAAAAAAATATCTTTGATGGCATCTCAGTTTCTTACATGTTCACTGTCCCGGTCACTGCAGTCATTGTCTGAACCTTTTGTATCACAAAATGGAGGGCTGCCTGGTGAAGATTGAGTAACTTGATTTATGTCCATTTCCACAGGTCCACAATCTTCATGGGCCCCTCCATCCAGTTGGGAACATTTCATCAAAATTTCTTCCTTCCAAGAACCCCCAAACTTATTATCTTTACCATGCATCACATTACCACTCTTCTCGTATTTGTGATTATTGCCCATATCAACTTCCCGAGAATGGTCTAAACTGAAAGGATCCTCAACACGTTCAGTCACGGTTTGTGAAAAGACTGACTGCTCCCTGTGTAAATTATCTTCCAGAGATATTTTGGATGGCTCCTTGGACAAAACTGGCAGCTCATCTATAATCATCAATAGATAGAAGCAATATAATGTGGTTAAAAAGCAATCAGATAAATTTCAACAGATTAGAAGTATTCCCGTGCAAAATAAAACAGCTTTACCAGAAGAACGATGCTGAGATAGATTGGCATAAAAGGCAGCATCCAGGCTTTTATAAATTGCAACCATGTTTTCCACGATAGGCAGAGACCTCAGATCTGCCATCCAAATTAATTGAGAGGGAAAAAAAAAAGAATTGATCATTTCATGCCAACAATAAAACCAACAATAGTATACGTCAACTTCCCCCAACATTTGAAGTGGACGAAGTAACAACACCCACTCTGAACAGACATATTAAAGGAAAGTAGAGCTCGCGTCTGGAGCTTTAAGATTTCACACACCGGCATGCATGGCACTTTAGCAACATACTGAATTAGATCACAGCTAACCTCTTTGAGTATAATGAGTATTACAGAAAGCGCATTCTGAACTAGGCCTCGAGCAATCGGCTATACATGAGCTGCAAGTTTCATTGTTACGATTTCAAACACTTCAAGCAAAAAAAATTGGATATAAAATTTACAAAGTAGACTGTGAAGAATAAACAAACCTGCAGAATATGTGGTTGCATGGAAGTAACATCGGCCTTTTGAACAAGTTTAAACTGCAAGGTAAACGGGAGCGAAAAATAGAAGCACGTCAGATTACTTTCCCGAATTAAGCATTAGGATTCTTCTGTTTGGTTTGCAGGGGCACAAAAAAGGAAGCTCTGACTTGGAATTTTTTATTTTCCGAAGGAAAATAGGAAAAAACACCAGCCTAAACCCCCCGCCACAAATTCAAGAGCTTGAAACGTTCTGAACAGTAATTACTAAGACGGTCTTCCCAATTTTGCAGAACTACTTTCTATAAAGGTCCAGAAGCTAAAAGAAAATAAAATGTGAACCAAATCCAAAACTGCATATTCTGACCTCTTTCACAGAAGCAGATTGGATTTCGGAGACGAAAAGGGCAATAATTTCTAACATCGAATCTAGCAGCTGAAGAAATATAACCGATTCTCCAGAGACAATATCACAAAGCAACTCAAGACTAAAGCAGACATGTTGACGCTCAAAAAATGTTTCTTGTCTAGCAACCGTTCCCGAATTTTCTCAGCATCCAGAAAGAGTGAAAGCAAAAGAAATAATACCCAGACGAGAAGAGATGGAGGAAGAAATTAAGAAGAGTACATAAGACGAGAGGATCACGAACCAGAGAGGGCACTTGAGTTCAAGACTCATTTTTTGGAACTGAAGCATCCATGGGTTCAAGAATTTACTGTTGTTACCATGCTTCCCAGAGTCCTCCATCTGCGTCTCGGACAAGAAGTCGAGCCAGAGACACCGGTCCAGTTGAACAAATGCTTTTCTGCTTTTCAGCAAATCCTAGCCCCTACCTACAGTGAGGAAATGATTTATCAGAGGACACGGTCACATCAAAAGAGCCGCGATGGTGAAGGCGATGTGAACGTGGACGGCTGAGATTTCGTATTCGCGTGGGAAAGAGGCGCGATCACCAATTTAATTGGCGCAAAGGTCATTTGAAGTGCGCGCTCCTCTTTTGGGTTTTCTTGGCTTTTCAGTTTTCAGTTTTCAGTTTTCAGTTTTCGCCCTTAGTAGGCAGAAACTCCCGCTTCTGGGACCAAACTTGGTTCTCCGCTTCAAGTGTAAAATAAAAGAACCAGCCTGCTCTACGAGGTTACGGTTGTAAAATTACTCAACTGGACCCTTCCAAAACCCACACTCTTTCTCCGATGTCCCGGTGATCCGTTGCTGTCATTTTTTATACTACCTTCGGTCATTAATATAAGATCTCGTTTGACTTTTAGTTTGGTCCTAATTATAAGACCCCAATTCATTTTATTCTCATATTTATACATTTTTTCCAAGATAGTCCTTCTATCAATGATAGTTCTAACCAACACACTTAATTAACAAGGATATTTTAGGAATGACAACACTTATTTGTTACAAATAACTAACTTAACTTACTTCCTTAATCTCCTCAAATTAGTCAACTGGGTCTTATAATTAGGACCGGAGGTCGTAATAAATAAGAATAAAGTTAAAAATGGTTAAATTTTAAGTTAAAATTAATGAAATTCAAATATTTTCTTAATTCTAATTAAACATATTAAAAGTAACTTATAAATAAGATCAGAAGAGTTAGTTAAAGCCATTTTGTTCAATCAACAATTAATGCTTACTTAAATATAAAATTATATATTTGATACTCTGTGAATATAGTAATGGATGGGTAAATTCTTCTATTGTAGAGTTGATAATATGGACTGAACTCACAACCCGTAAAAAAATAACAGGTTAAAATTGATTAAAAATCAATCCGCTAGCAACAAACCTTTTTAACTCGTATTGTTAGGCCTGCCAACTTAAGAACTAAGTTACATTTATTGTTTTTAAAAAAAATTAATTATTATAATTGTATTATTATATATTATATCCTATCTAAAAAACTTTTAAAAAATACCTATATAATTTATTTAGTGCTTTCAATCAAATGTTTCAAGGAAAAAAAATTTGATTATATTTTTTGAATATTGTTTGAGGAAAAATATTAAAAATAGAAAGAAGAAAAAAACGTAAATAGTTTTAGTTGGCCCCATTTTGACAGGTTAGGATTAGCTTCAAGCAAGCCTTTTTTAACCTCACCTATATGAGTTCAACCAACAACCTGCAAATTGGCTCGTGTCATCATCCTTACTCTACTGGTCAAAAAAGATGGGTGAATTCCTCAGCAGGTAACAAATGAAAAAATATTGATAAAAAAAAAAATCACACAAAATCACAAAAAAAAAAAAATTAAGTTATTCAGTTCACATAACATAGAGTTTATAAATGCAAATTTTGACTAATGAAATACTATAGTCTTTAATATAAGAACTAGATAAATAATTTTAAAATATTAAAAAATTAGTTAAACAGGTTATTTTTTAAATATATGTTAATTTTTCTAAACCATTATCTTCAATCACATGCACTGAATTATTAGAATTATCTTTTTTTTTATAGCAGAATTATTAGAATTATCTTTACTAGTAACCTTTTACAATCAATATGAATATTTGAAAAGATAAAAGATGAGATAAATTAAGATTTTATATTTATTTTATGATTAAATCAAACTCCTAACCAACCATTAAGGATAAGAGTTAACCCTGGTCAAAAAAGGATAAGAGTTAACAATTCCTCAAAATTTTAGGGTTTGTTTGGTTGGAGGGAAGGGGAGGGGAGGGAAAATGAACCCCTCCCCTCATTTAATTAAAAATTTTGAAAGGAGGGAAGCCAAAATGTCCCCTCCTCTCCTTTTCCTCTCCCCATTTTAGCTCCCCTCCAAATTGAGGGTTTTTGGAGGGGAGCTAAATTCTTGGACCATTATACCCTTATGGTTTTTTTAATATTTCACTTCTATCCATAAAATATATTATTATAATATTTATTTCAAATAAGAAATATATTATCCTAAATAAAAAAATAAAAATATTATAATTAAAAAATATATTATAAAAATTATTTAAAAATAAAAAATTATAATTAATTGTTTTTTATAAATATATTATTTATTAAATATATTTTAAAGCTAAAAAAAGGATAGCCTAAAGAGAATAAAATTTCATTTTTCTTAAAGCATATAAAATTTGTTAATTTGATTATTTTAATTATATTATTATATTAATTAGAATAAAAAATTATTGTACCAGTTTTTTAATGTACATATTAACATGATAAGACTGAATTTTTATGAAATTATATAATTTAAATTAAGATGTAAATTAATTTATATAATATATCAATAAAAAATATAAACTAATATGTAAGAATAAAATGGTAAATTAATTATTACTATCCCTCCTATGGGGAACAAAATCGAACCGTAACCGAAAACTGAACCGAACCAAATTTAATTTCGGTTTTTCAGTTCGGTTATTTCGATTTTCAGTTATATATTCGGTTTGGTTAGTAGAAAAAAAATCGGTTATAACCGAATAACCGAAATAAATATATTATATATTTATATTTAATAAATATTATTATAATAAATACATATGTGGATATATGTGAACTTTTTAAATATATTTATATTCAACAAATATGATTATAATAAATATTATTATAATAAATCACATTGAATGATGAAATATTTATTAACTAATGGTTATAATTGTGTTTTATTATTATTTTTAATTTAAAATTATTTTTCATATTTATATATTTCGGTGAATCGGTTAACCGAACTGAAATTTTCGGTTAATTCGGTTTCGATTCGGTGTTTAAAATTTACTCTATTCGGTTATCACCGATAACCGAACCGAAAAACCAAATGCTCACCCCTAATCCCTCCCCTTCCCTCCTTGAAGTAAATAAGGGATCATTAAATATCCTCCCTCTCTTCTTTTTTAATCAAACCAAATAAAACCTCCCTTCTCCCTCCCTCCCCCTACCCTTCCCTCAAACCAAACAGGCGCTTAGGTGCTGCCATTTGCCCATTTCCCGTGAATTCCTCCCCTCCGTCACATATGCGGTAAAGACCTAGAAGACCTGAACCATGTTCTCAAATTGTGCAATATTGCTCGGGACTGTTGGCGAGCGATCATACAAAGGAGGCACTTCACTTCTTCAACTCTCAACCTTTTCCTGAATGGCTTGCAACGAACCTCCAACGAGATGATAAAAGTGTTTCCTGGAAAATTCTGTTCGGCGTCATATGCTGGAAGCTCTGGCAAGCAAGGAATGCAATACTTTTTTTCTCATGAACAAGTCCGGACCCACAGCATTATTAACGAAGCCATAGCTTTAACCCACCATACTGTATAAGTTAATGACTCGCTGAAACGCCTTAGAATAGGCCAACTATTGTCTCTTGCTCCTTGTAAATTTTTTGCTGACCTTTGTACATTTTTTTGAGTAATGAATTTTCTTTCACTTAAAAAAAAAAAAAAGATGACACGGATTCGCAGGTCATTATAAGCAGTTAATAGTAAATACGCTTCTTGTAATGTGGAGCAAGTGTAAAAGCTTGATAAATGAATCACCCAGCGCTGTAAATTAAGATTCGAGCTCCTGTCACATCTAATATCCCTCGCTACTAAACACCTGTGCTAGAAAAAAACTTGATAAATAATTTATATATACTTCCTTTAGTTTTTAATATAAAAATTAGTTAACTAATTTAAATAGATTAAGAAAACTAGTTAGGTTAGTTATTTGTAATAAACATATACTATTTTTTAAAATATTATTGCTAATCAAGTATACTAGTTAGAATTACTGTTATTACAAGAAATATGTTAGGAGAAAAATAAATAAATATGATAAATAAAATCGATTGGAATATTATATTTAGGACTAGAATAAAAATTAAACAAATTCTTATATTAAAGACCTGAGATAGTATTAAAAAACTAGTTAAATTTATTGTTTAAAAAATAAATGCTAATATTTAAATGTACTGAAACAGTACTCAAATAGAAATTTTCTTAATGCGTAGAATTGACAGGAATGCTCAAGGTAAAAAAAAAAAAAAAAAGAATTGATAGGAATGCTTTGAGGCAAAAATTATAAATTTGAAAGGCTGAAATTAGACTAAGATTTTATATATATAAATAAAATAAGTCATTGCCTGGCTCTTTTGTCATGCAGGAGGGGGTAACGTTCATTCTTGCATGTCTGTAACCGATAACATGTCAAAAAATTGACGTGGTGTCCAATGGTGATTAGGTAGGCTATGAACTTTTATTCTGATTGGAGCTTACCTGCTGATGCAACAGAGGGCGCAGAAGAAATTCCCTACATATTCAGAAGCCTGACTTTAATCTGAGGGAATCAATTATTTCATTTGCAAATTGAACTACACCATCAAATGAGAAGAATTCAAACAAAAAAAATTCAAAACAAAAGAATTTCAAGATGCAATGCCGAATCACAGATAAATAATAACATTAAAATAAAGTCAACGAATGCGAAAGAAAAAAAAAAAATACAGTTCCGTTACCAAGTTTTAGTCATATATTTTTTGGCCCAACTGTGACTGGATCCAAGTTGCCCCCCACACACACACGCACACACTTGACTTCAATCAAAGGGTATAAAACTAAATTTTCAATAGAAATTAAACTGAATAAAATCAATCCCGTCACGCACAATCAATCTGATTTGTTCTTCTTTTTTTTTGGGGTCATCTGGCGCAATTTGAATCGGCACCGGTTAATATTAAAATTATTTGTTTTTCTTGCAAGTCATATAAATTAATCAAGATTATTGTGGCTGTCACTTGCTATTTAAATTTAGCTGATCCTTGACAGACTTAGGAAGGAGGATAGTCACGGTGCTAAAATGAATCAAGAGAGAATTATAACAAGGTTTCAAGGCAAAAAAAAAAAAGTACAAAATAGTCTTAGAAGTTATCATTATCTATTTTGAAATTCATTATTACAGGCTGTTTAGATTGATATTAAAATTTTGTAGTAATTTTTTTAAAAAACTTGATTGTAATTTTTCCGTGAATCAATGACCAGATCTCTAGGGGCCGCCTGGTAGGGACCCAGCTAACTTGATTCAAAGGTTTTTTTTT